GATCCCATCTTTTCATCTCTCTCTCTCACTCATTTTTTTCCAAGCAGCACGTGCTTGATTTTTCTTTTTTTCACGCTGCGGAAATTTTCCCATTCTACCTTTCATCTGAACCCGCTCGGCATTCGCCCAGCCGGGGCTGCAGCTTGCACACCAGATAAGAAACCCCACTGTATCTGGGTTCCCTGATCCCCATCTCCATCTCGCTCCCGATTATGAGCTCTCTTGTGGCTGCCTTTATCTTCAAAGTGCTTTACAAACACTAATTAATCCTCCCAGCACCCCGTTGCGGTAGGTGAGAGAGAGCTGTTTGCCTTCACCCACTCGTCCCGGTACCCATCGCCGGTGCTGTGGCATCTCTTCTTGGGGCATCCCCGTTTGCTGGCCCTAGTTTTGAGGAGGTGGATGCTCTCCCCCAGGCAGGGCTAGCAGGACAGCTGGGGTCCGTGTCACCACAGTTGGGACCTGCACGAAAGGAGCATCGTGGCTGGGGACCTGCGTGGAAAGAGCGTGCCTGCAGATTAATGCAAACCTCAGGAGCTTCAAGAGGTGATCAGTGCTGCTCGCTGCATCAGCGAGCAGCCGCCTGCTTCTCCCTTTGCTTTTGCTGCTAATTTAGTCATCTTGCCCAGTTGAATTATTCTCAGTTTGCCTTCACCACGGAGCTGGACGTGTGCTGCTCGCCCAGCCTGGGGTCACTTGCTGTGTTTGTCCCTGGCAATGGCTCTAGGGATGAAGATGCACTTGGGGAGGGGGTGTCATACATCTGCTGGGGTACCCGGGGATGATTGTTGAACTTCCTTGGGGTCTGCCAGATGATCAGGCAGGTCCCTGTGCTCCCCGCGCTGGCTCAGGGGTGGCTGATAATTGAAGACCAGGTCTGAGCTGAGCGGCTAAAGCTGGGGGAGTAGAGTCCAGTCAGGGTGCTGGGGGCAGGCGGCTCAGCCTGCCTTCGCCTGCATCTTCTGTTTATTCCTGTAGTAGCTCTGAGTTGAGAGGCGCCTTTTTTTTTTTTTTT